ACCAATTTAAGGTCCTGTACTCTGCAATTTTCTGTAATTTTCCTAAAACTATGATCATCTGATAATATCCTGACTTTTCGTTCTATAAGGGAACTGCTGATAGTATGAAAACCTTGCCCTAAAAAATAAAAATTGTATCTATTCTCTGGAAATTCAATACTCATCAAAGCCATCCTGGGTGTAATTTCCCAGCAGCAGAGTTAGCCCAGCAGGAGCTGTGTTCACAGGAACTCTGGAAACACCCAGAGAGCAGACACAACACTATTTTATGACAGAGTTAGACGTTTCTGAGTGGCATGGTCTGGGTTTTTATGTGGGCTATATACAAAATTAGGTCATACAATGAGCTATGGGGAAAAAAAGGTGGGGGAGGAGCTATATTTAAAAAAAAAAAACCTTTAGGATTATTGCAGAACAGCTTACAACACATTGTATTAACTGATTTCGATTAGAGTGAATGATCCCGACTGTGGATAATGTGAGGCAGTCTGGGAGAACATGCTGAAACAATTAACGTTTAAAAGAACAAATCCTTTGGTTTCTATGAGGAGTGTCTGTTTTTATTGATTTCCCCTAAAAGAGAAAAATTACTTTCATAATCTAGAGAGACATAGTGGGGAAATGTTAAAATGTTTTTAAATGAAAAGAAATTCCTGGCCCCACTCCTTGAAAATGGTTTTACGTTGTTACTCGGAATATAAACATCTCTTGTTAATATACACTCCTGCATCATCAATTCCTGTCAGAGAACAAAACATCTATTTTCAAAAGCTGCAAGATTTGTGCCTTCAAAGTCTTAAAGAGTTGTCTATTAACTCCTAGAAACTTTTCTTGTCCCAGCCTGAATCCCTTTTGGAAGAAAGGGCCCTCATAAATAAATCTAAATAAGTAACCCAAAATTAATAACAAGTTATTGCCTATTTTTACGCTCTTCCTCATCAATTCATTCTGCCCCATCTACTCCCTTGTGGAATGACCTATCCTTTTTTTTATTTCCTCCTAGCAGTTATCAAGCAATTACTGTTGTGCCAAGTACTAGATTAACACTTGCTAGGCATTATCTCATGTAAATCTCAAAATACCCTTTTGTGTGCATAAATTCAGAAAGATTAAGTAAGTTGTCCTAGGTCATATAGCTAGTAAGTGGTGGCAGACTTAGTATTTTAACACAAATCTCATTCAATTCTAAAGCTTATACCCTTAACTATGACTAAACATTGCATCTTTTGTCTTCCAAAATCTATCGACGTAATTTTCCATTCTTAAAATTCATAGTTCTTTGTACAGACCATTATTATAGAATGTATTACCAAGTATAATTATTACTTGTGTACATGTATTGTTTCTTGCTCTACATTGAGAAATCCAAGGATCAGTTACAACTTATGTGTTCAGTAAATGTTATTGAAGAAGTAAACGAGAGTTGATACATTCATAACGTAGTTTTCTAATTTATAAATACTTGCATGATTTTTGAGAATATTTCATATATCTATTTATGGGTGGATATAACAATAGAAATAGACAGATATAGCAATAGCTATGATAAGTTCCGTAATAGCTAGAACTTTATTTTCAACTTAGCTTTCAGAAACTCCTCTATAGGCATTATTCTTTGATTTCCAGTAACTGAGGGGTATGGAAATGTGCAAAGAAGCAAAACAATTATTCCAGCTAAATCATGTATTATATGTCTAATTAATTAAATCACACAGTTACAGCCATATCTAATTATGCCCGATAACTAAACATTGAGTTTGGGAATATTCCTCAAAATGATTAAATACATACATAGGACATAGGTGTACTGAGTGGTCCAGAAATATGTCCTGCAATGCAACAGCCACTCAAGATTCTTGCTGCTGGTCAAGTCCAGGTTTATTTTTTTTACATGTGTGAGGAGTTAATTCTTAGCCTGGTTTACCCCAGATTCAGAGATCTGTCTCTCTTCACCGGAGTCCTGGAATCTGTGAGCATCTTCTCAATTGTTTACCAGTGGCAGGGGCTCAGGTAACTACTATGTTCATATTCATAGTCATACAGATCAATGAGGCATACAATCTAATTAAATTTAAAGTGTAGGGTTAAGAAATAGTATTATTCTAGTAATTAATGTAACCATACAATGAGAGATAAACAACTAAACTGCCACACCTTTCACTAGAGAAGATAATTCATGTATAGTCATTCAGGAAATTTAATTATGTTCATGTTTCTGGGTGATTGCTGGGAGTAAATTTTCTTCTCTAATTGAACCCCAATCTGTACATTATAATTCTGGCTAAAAGGAAAAATCTTTTAAAAAAGTGAAAATAAAACAAAACAAAACAAAACAAACCTCTTGGACTCATTACTGCACAGGTGTGCAGTGCCAAAAAAGAGAAAATCCAGGAAGAGACTAAACAAATAGTAGTAGAAGCCATTTTTAAGGCAATATGTAACTCGTGACGGGCATTTGCAAAGTAATTTGGAAAGAGAAGCTTTCTTAGGAAAACTGATGATAAATGCTCTGCATTTTAAATGAATTTGGGGAAAATGCACACATGAAAACCAAAACTTTTTTGCAAAAAGTAATGAAGCCCAATTACAAGGAAATGATCATTCCAGAGTAGAATACCAAAGAACAAGAATAAGGCAGGGGAGAGAGAAATGTAGGAGAGAATCAACTGAACTTGAAAAATGCTCAGAGATAATAGAGACTATCCATTTATTATACATATAAATTGTATTAATTTATTTATAACTTGCTTCAGCTCTTGGAGAATTTGAGATAGTCATTCTCTTAAACACATAAGACTAAGAGTTTCACTATTTCCTGAGAGATGAGAAAGTGAAAATTAATACCAGAATTATTTTACATATATAGTTTTTAGTTACAGAAAGATGTATATACTAACTATAGAGTTAACTACCCATATTTCTCATTCTATAATGTGAATTAAGTCACCATCTAATTATTCTTTGGTCATTTTTTTAATGTACCCAAGTGCTATATACAGTAAAATATTTGGAATGAGTAGACTATTATAAATTATCAAAATTCGAGTGTTCTGAGTATTTGTTTACATCTGAGACTGCTACTCATTACATTAGCTCTAGTGGGGGCTCAATAAATGTTGCTCACGGGTATTTAGTTAATGTTTTTTCTTTTTCTTTTTTGTTACAAGTAAATCAAAGAACAAACCATAAACAAATGAAATAAAGCAAAACAAAATATAAATAATTTCAGGAAAAAAGTAACTTATTAATTATTAATAAGTTATTGGGACATTTTCACAAATCAGACAGAGATCTAGTTAAGTAAAACCTCAGAAGACAGATATAGGGGAGTTCCAGGGGTCTGAACAACTAAGGTTCACAGAATTTTTTCCAAAGTATCACCATCCACATGATTTGATATTGATGACGACCAGTTTGGTATATTCCTAGTACAAATTTCAAATCCCCAGCAAAGATAATACAATTGGCCCTGCTAAGATTAGATGTCTATCCCTGGATCTGTCAATGATGGCCAGGGGCAGGCTCACATAGCCCAATGTGGCCACTGAGAGCCCACTTTTGTGGGTAGGGGGTTACCTGCAGTGAAAGAAAATCAGTGTGTGTTGCACAGCCCCTTCAGAAAATGTCTGTCCCACTGGGAGATGTAATTACTTTTAAGGAAATGCCGAAAGAAATTTACGAAACCAGAAACTTCCAATTCCGTGGGAGAAGTAAAAAGAAACATCTACTTTCTGATGTTCTCAACTGACCACAGAACTGATAATCAGACTTTAATGCTAGCATTTCTGACTTGTGATTTTCAGGAAGAGTCTTAAATGTAGCCATCTATTAGTCCCAGATATTCCTGTAGTACAGAGGCAGCCCAGATTTGTCGGTGACTTAGAGAATAAAAATGTCACACTTTTGTGAGCAGATGGTCAGAGGGACTAATTTAGCATCATCATCTCTCTTTCACTAAAGGTGATCCCACCTTCTCTTCCTTCCACAGATAAACAAAAACCAAAAGGCAAGAACCTTCATCTCTTACACAATCTGCATGAAAAGTAGGCTCCCCCAGGCCTAATGCCTGACAACACAGTCACAAGTCCAGCTGTATCTTTCAGCACCTTGTATCTCAACCATAGATGAGGATATTTAGGAAGCTCCACATATCACTTTTAAATTGCCTGAAAGGTGGGTCAAAGGAGGAGAATGCCCCAAAATTAACTTCCTAATTTCTTGTCCCCGTTAACACACGAATTATTTCATGACAAGCAAACTGTCTGTTACAGCACATAAAATTCTCAGGGAAACCATTGTCATGTCTATCAGGCAATGTATGTATAAGAGAGTATCATCCAAATCAGCCACTTTCTTCACTTACTTCAGAGCACAGTGTAGTAGAATGAGTACATCAAAAATGAGGTAGGTGTCTGGGATTTATTCCCAGTTCTACAACTGATGCATTATTCTTGCTCCCTTTGCACTTAAGTCTCCCATCTGTAACACAAGGATAATGACATAGTACCTGTTTGTCTCTAAGGCACTTAAAAATTCTCTGATGGAAGATTCCACACAAATGCAAAGACTATTATTACACTAAGAAGACTTGAAAATTGCAAGTCTGTGTACTCATCACTATTAAGCAGTCAACACAATGACAGAGGAGAAAGCAACCTTCTCTAAGGCATCTAAAATCAAATATTGCTGAATATGCAGCTATTTGGAAAAAATATACATGCAAATATATTTATTTTAATGTCCATCGAAATCTAATTCATCAATAACCCATTTAGAGAAATTCTTTGCAAATTATCCTAATTCCGAAAACATTCATGGAATCCCTAATCGCAAGAATTTTTTTATAATGCAAAGCTTTCTCAAAAGACATTCTTTCTCCTTTCAAAAGATTTGCTCTACTCCAGAATTTTAGAGTACTCTAGCTCATTCCACTAAGATTATTCCAAAATATAAAAACATTCCTCCTCCAATATGACCAGTGTTGTAATAATCAAACTTACAGTACAGTGGTGGACAGGCATCCAAGCAGGGGCTTCCACTGAACAATTCTGGGCTGGGCATTTGCTTTGGTTTTGCTGCAAATAAGTAAAAATGGTGTTATGTTCTATATATTATGTGCGACAATATACACTAGCTGACATATTTATTATCAATATGTTTATCACCATATTTATTAAGGATAACAGAAGTCTTTGAGAATGACTTTTTGGTGCAGTGCTGCAAGAAAACTAGGTACATAATTTCTACTCTTAGGAAAATACCCTTTGCTTTTTTTTATTACTCTAAGGACTACGAGTTTTTTGTTGTTGTTGTTTTCAGCTTTTTTGAAAAGACTAGGTTTTTGGCACCAGGCTTTCTCAGCATCTGGCCTTCCAAGCCTGAATAGAAACCACTTGAGAACTCTCCTAACCCAGAGAGGCTGAACTATGCTCTTCCAGTCTCCCAGACAACACTGATACATTCTGTACCCCTATGAGATCCCTTGAGTCAATGTATAGAAAGACTTCTTTGTCTACCCTTTCAGACTATAAGCTAGTGGTGGCGATTCTCTCTAGGGTATTTCATAGAACTCCAGAACGTAAAGTTGGAAGGGATAGATCTTAGACACCTGCTTGTCACATCAAAAACTGAGATTCACAATGGTGATATAGCACCTCTTGTATACTCCTGGATAGAGCTGGAACGCATTCTACTCAGTGAGGTATCCCAAGAATGGAAAGACAAGCACCACATGTACTCACCATCAAATTGGTATTAACCGATCAACACATAAATGTACATATAAGAATAACATCTATTGGATGTTGGGCAGGGGGGAGGGGGAGGAGGGAGGAGGGGACGGGTATTTTCACACACATAGAGTGCAATGAGCACCACCCGAAGGATGGACATATTTGAAACTCGGACTTGGCGGGGGGGAAGGGCAACATACGTAACCTAAACATCTGTACTCCCATAATATGCTGAAATTTAAAAAAATAAAAAAAAACTGAGATGCAGAGAAATGAAATAATCTGCTCAAGGAGCCAGAGTTTCAACATTCTAAGCCATTTTCCTGGTACTTCTTTCTACATAAGAAATTTATCTTCAGTTAACATATTCTTTTGTTGTAATTCCTATAGATTCACTTCTATTAAATAATTGGCTTTTAGAAAGAATAAAATGATTCCCTTTAACCAACAATACTACACCATCTCTGCAATAATGAGAACTGATTAGTCTTAAAGATGTGGGGAGAGGATTCTATAATAATAAAACATGTTTTATCTTTAATTTCCTTTATTGTACACTCAATGATAATATATGCATACTAATAATGTTACTAATCATAAAAATAACTGTGATTTATTGAGCTACTAAATATACCATGTTTTGTTCTGAATGCCTAATATTATCATTAGTCCCCACATATGCATGGGTGGAAGCATTGTCCCCATTTTATAGGAGAGAAAACTGAGGCTTAGCAAGGTTAAGCAACTTGTCTAAAAGTCACCCTACTAGAAACCAGCATAGCTACAATTGCAGCACGAATCTGGCTGACTCTGGTACCCATGTATAGTCTTCCTTTTAAAAGAAGCTGCCTCAGGTATTTTTTTTTTTTTTTTTGAGACAGAGTCTCACTCTGTTGCCCGGGCTAGAGTGAGTGCTGTGGCGTCAGCCTAGCTCACAGCAACCTCAAACTTCTGGGCTCAAGCGATCCTTCTGCCTCAGCCTCCCGAGTAGCTGGGATTACAGGCATGCGCCACCATGCCCGGCTAATTTTTTTTTTCTATATATTTTTAGTTGTCTGATTAATTTCTTTCTATTTTTAGTAGAGACGGGGTCTCACTCTTGCTCAGGCTGGTTTCGAACTCCTGAGCTCAAACAATCCGCCCGCCTCGGCCTCCCAGAGAGCTAGGATTACAGGCGTGAGCCACCGCGCCTGGCCTGCCTCAGGTATTTTTGATTTTGTGTCTGTTTAATGGGACTTAAGACATGTCTGTCATAATCCAATCTGATTTCATATTATGAGTGATCCTAACATTTCTGATTAAACTGAATAAAATACTGAATTCAGTACCACTATCATGCTAAGAACTTGTGTGTGTGAAATTTATAAGCTTTTTACAACAACCTCTGTTTAGATGATCTATTTTTAAGGCATCACTAAGCCCTGAAGTGCTGTATGAGTGATTAGGGATAAAGACACCATAAAAATAAACTTAGATCACCAATCTCCATGATCAGTTTTCTTACTGAATGCAAATATGACATGCAGCACCAGCCGGGTACATAGGTGCACTAGACTGGTGTAAGGTGACCACAATTTCAAGCTCAACATGGACACATGCTTGCTGCTATGAGATGCTCTTGGTAGTCACATCTGTAAAACAATGTTAGTATCTTGCCTTATTCACAGACAAAAAATATAGAGTCACCTCAGATCGTTATTACAATTTGAGAGGATGCTACAAATATGAGAACATACAAAGTAACAGGGAAATTTTATCCTATTTTTAAAAGTTTAAGCTAAATAAACAAATATAATTTATCTACATGTGGGGTTAAGCTTTTTGAAATTTGAAAGCATAATTAAAATGGTAACAATTATTTTCAATTATGATAATTAACACCAAATTTTAGTGGTGAGGAATGTCTCCCTTGGAATAATTCATAACTTTTGTTATTATTAATAGTAACAATAAGCTTGTTTTATATCTAGATAGTGTATATCTTTATAGAGCACATGATAAAGAAGCAAATTCAATAAATGAGTGAGCTATTCTTGGATAGAGGAACAGATGTACAGTCTACCTCAGTATCTGTGGGGGGACTGATTCCAGGACCTTCCATAGATACCCAAATCTACTAATACTTAAATTGCTTATATAAAATGGTGTAGTATTTGCATATAACCCATATACATCCTTCTGTATACTTTAATCTCTAGACTACTTTTAATATCTAATATAATGTAAATACTATGTACACAGTTGTTAAACTATATTGTTTAGGGGAAAAAGACAAGAAAAAGGTCTGTATGTATTCAGTACAAATGCAACTATCAATTTTTTTCTAATATTTTTGATCCATTGTTGCTTGAATCCATGGATGTGGAACCTATGGATACAGAGGGCTGACTGTATTCACATAAGATGATGGGTGCATAAATACGGTGTGTTTGAACTTCTATAGATATACAGCATGGACTAAAGAAAGGTGGAAATCTGCGTGAGTCTATTTCTTATTGCATTATGACCTGATTTTTGACACTAAGGTCTTCCCATTAGTGTTTTAATTAAGCAAATCAACAATATTATTACACAGGGCCAGACAAATAAAAAGGCCTACTGAAGACAGAAACCATGTAAACATAAATTATTTTTCACTCCATGGTATGTGGCCAGGATAAAACAATAAAAAAGATTGGAATAAAAATTAGAACTTTGGATCAGTAAAGTTTTCTCATCAATCTATCTGTGGACTTGGGAAAACTTTAACCCCTTAAAACTTATTTTTCTTATCTATAAAATGAGAGGGTTGTCTTAGACCCATTATTCAATGTTGGGAGGAGTGTCAGATTTACCAGAAAATCTTTTCTAAACTTCATTTTCCTTACAAGAATATGCTCCCTCTAACAAAATGGTGTACCCTGAAGTTGAGAGCCTCTGTCATTCTGATTTAATGATGAATCATCCTCGAGCACCTTAGTAATACCACTAGAAAATGGTTATTTCCCTGTGAGTTCCAGTGATAGCGAAGACTGAGAACCACTAGATCAGATGGTCTCAAAAGAGCCTTCTATTTAAATGTGGTTATTGAACACCCTAACCTCATGTTTTATCTACTTTACCTCTGAAGAAGACAAGATCTAACATGGGTCATGGGAACTGCCACAGTAGGTGAAGAAGTAAAGGGGTTTAAAATTCTTTTTTCCTAGAAGCCTTCATTTTACTTCTTCAGCATCTTTTTAAAAAAAATATTTAATGTGCATACTGTGGCATGATAGAGTTTGGGGGTACCTCCTACTTGGTAGATCCCGACCCCTTAGAAGGCCAGCTAGAACCAGTATGAATGTGAGGGGAAAGGACACATTTAAAACTACTCCAAGGTTAATTCATAAGCCAAAAATTAAGGGGCAACATTACAATTCCCTCAAGGGCAAGCCCAGCTTGCCACGCAAAAATTTAAGATAGAAATTGGCAGCAAATTTCCCTAATGATAGAGCTTTCTCTTCCCCTTCTCTTCTATTTTTCTACCCAGGAGGTTTATAACTGTGTCTTATTAATACGTTACTCACCCAGGATTCAAAGATCTGCAATGCTAACCCTGAAAAACATATTCTTTTAAGAGACAAAACTCTCAGTGGTTTTGGTCTCTTAAAAATAGACAGGTTGATATCTCCAAGTCTCTCATCTTCCTTGGCTGTGTTTTTCTGACTTTAACATCTTGACATATTTCATTCCATAATATTCTAAGAAAATTAGCCAAATATGCTGACCAATTTATATAATTAATCTGACACTTCAGATTAATTATATAAATATGTAACTATAAAGAATTTGAATAGTGACAAACATTTGGCAAAGAAAACTCTAAAAATTTTCTTCTTAACCCATTCCATCTCCAGAAAGAGTAGGAAATGATTTGTGTATCAGGGGCTTATGCAGTGTTAGAGTGCTTTGGAGCTTACGAAGTGCTTATCTAGACATTTAGCCATTTCATCCTCAGAAAAAGTTGTGTGCAGCAGAGTGAGAACTGATTCATCCAAATAAAATGTTGACCTAAACGTTTCATTCAAAGTAGTATGTTTTTCTGAACGGACAGTAGAAGCTGAGAGGTTCTGTTTTTTTTATAGTTCACAGTAAAATAATTCTCATAATCATAGTTTTGTTTTCTGGATTGGGAAGCGTTCCATGATAGGACTATACACATATTCATTCATTTATCCATCTTTCACTTACCAGACATATATTACATGAAAGGTATCTTGCTAGGTAAATATAGAGATAAAAATTTAGAGATATAAAAATTTAAATAATCCTTACTCTGCAAAAGCTCCCAGCCTTTTAGGAGATACAATACAACATGTTAA